GTGTGTGTGTGTGTGTGTGTGTGTGTGTGTGTGTGTGTGTTTCTCTCTGTGTGTGTGTGTGTAAAAATATGGGTGAATGGGAGATCATTTAGCGTCACAAAAAGCTTTTTAACCTTAACATTTGTTACATTTATCTTTTCCACTGTTGTTTATACTTTTAGAAAACAGTTGGAACCACAGTATTTTTGCTATATATGAACACTGGGTATAGTACCACATTTTATAAATATATATATATATTATAATAATTAAGTGCTCTTTGGAACACATGGGAGTTGCCAAAGATCCTGGAACTGAAAATCATATTAAAAACACAGCTGAAGTTAGATATTTTAAATTTGTGTGTTTCACTGAGTCTTAAAAATGAGGTTTCAGGGAATCAGTTTCAAAGTTATGAAATTTTAAAGTTATGTTTAATGCTTCCACATGAGAATTTTTCTGTTCTTCTGTTGGGTTTTCTGGACACATTGTTCAGGACTCTTTCCATTAGGCCTGTGTGAGTTAAAGATTCTCAGTTCCAGAAATCACAGGTATGGATACTGCTATTAAGATCTTACAGCTTAAGCCTTCTCAATCAGTGGAGCGTCAGTTAATGATACTTTTACAGGGAGTCTGTTACAAGTGTGTTGTGACTTAATATATTTTTTCATCTTTCCATTATTTGTGCATTTCTCTTTTGATCTAAAGGCCCAAAGAAATCAAGTGCAATGAAAACAGTTAATTCATTATTAAAATATACTTTTATTTTGAAAAGTGACTTTATAAAAATAGTATTGTCAAATTCTACACTTGTTTTCTCAATCACTCCAGAACAAATTTGCTCTAGTTACAGATTAGCAACAGATTCAGCCTAGGATCTGAAAACCAAGTTGTGTTCTTTCTGGCTTGTGCATTGTCACCAGGGTCTGCAGGCCAAATGCCATGCTCCATATATCTATGCAACCCTCTGGCCTTCAGTGGGATTGCACAAATGTAACTGGGGGCATAATTCAAAGACATTAGTTACAGAGTTTGCTCTGCAAATGGAACTTGGTTAACAACGGTTTGTTGGGGGGGGGGGGGAATAGTAACTTACTTTTTGCCATTTAAGTCAGCAGATCTGACTCTGGGTAGACATAGTGGCATCTCTACTGAGTAAGAACCACACTCCAAGCTTGAGATATTAGGCACCCAAAACCCTCAGGAGGTTCCAACAGTTAAGATTTGTACCTGTGTTCACTTGGCTACATCACACAATGTAGTATTTCCTGTTCCTGTTTTCCTTGTTAAATATACACCTTAACATTATTTTACCAGTAAACCCCCGCCCCAAAAAAAACCCCTACCCCAGCAAATTGTGCAATATGATGGTACATATATATATTATTACTCCTGCAGAAATTCTGCGCCAAAAATTTGAAAATTCTGCAACAAAAGAATAAAAATTCTGCACACAATATTTTAAAATCTGCAAAATTCTACATATTTTATTTGTCAAAATAACACAATCTAATCACACCAGTTTCAATTATTTTTGGTAATTTATTTCAAAATACCTATCAGCAAGTATGTCTGTAACAATACAGACAACAAAAAAAAGATTTAGAAAATGTTTTTTGACAAATAGATTCCTTACTAGGCATATTAATACAGAACTCTGAGTAATAATTCATTTAAACTACAATAAAGAACTGTATTTCCCGTAGCCCTCAGAAGCAGTGCAAAGGCTTGGGAGAGTCAGGGGTAATGGACAGGGAAGTAAATTGCTGGGAAGGAGCCTGGGTGTGAACCTGGAGGATTGTTGGATATGGGTGGGAAAAGTATGGAACAAGGGTTTTTTGGGCGGGGTGGGGAGGGATTATTAGGGAGCTTCCCCCATGCAGACCCTGGCTGACCTCTAGCCTCTCCCATGCAGTCAGGCACATCTGCCCCTGTCAACAGACACCCACTCCCACTCAGACACCCACTCCCTCCATCCCCATATGGCCCTGCATCCCCTCCCCCTGTCCCTATGTGGCTCTGTACCCCCGCCCCCCATTCCCATATGGCCCTGCACCCCCCCCCTCTGTCCCTATGTGGCTCTGTACCCCCACCCCATCCGATGTG